CGGCAGGAGGATCGTTGCATAAAATGCTGCCACCCGATAGCTTCTCCAGGCTGCCCCACCGGTTCCTGCTGTAAGCAAAACCCTTGTTTGGCTGCAAAACTGCTCGGATTAAACATAAAATCCCAGGCAGTCCCAGCACGGCAGTGGAACAGAGCCAGTGGCCCCTGGGCAGGCTGGCAGGGATCAACCCAGCCTTGCCAGGCTCAGCACGGGCTGCCTGTGGCACCACCGCCCTGCTCCCTGGGGAAGGGCAGCAGTGTTCCCTGTCCCGTGGGTCACTGCGGGGGCTGCTGCCCTGCTGCAGGGGCCCTGTCACAGTGGGACTGACCCCAGCCCCAGCGGCATCTGAACTCCTCGTTTTGGCTTGAAGGCAGCATCTGCTGCAGGGCCAGTGTGTGTGCCCTGACCCCCGTGTCGCTGCAGGGGTGGGGTGATGCTGGTCCATGACATCCGCAAGAACAGGAGCTGGGTGATCGACTTCCGCGAGGCGGCTCCCCTGGGCATCCCGCTGGAGGTGGATCTGCAGGACCACAGCAGGGTGAGGATGGCTGACCCCTCCGGGGCTGCAGCTGCCTGATGGCTCCAGCTCTCCTCTCCCTGCTGCTCTTGGGCCAAGGGAGAGGTGCCAGGGGAAGCAACAGGAGGCCTGTCCCACCATGGGAGATCCCTGGCCCTACAGACATGGAGAGTCCAGGGAAAAGGCTTCTTTGGCAATGCCAAAATGCCTGGAAACTGCAGGTCTTGGCGAGTAAGGAGGCATGGCCCTCTGGCAGTGGGGAGCCAGGAGAACAGGAGTCCTAGGAAGGAGCACAAACCTATGTCCTTCTGCTGAGTTATTTCTCCTGACAAAACTGGTTTGAGATCAGGATTGAATTTGCCTCTTTACTTCCAAAAACTTTTACCCCCTAACTGAGTGTGTCACTACAGACCCTCTTCCCCTCCCCTAAAGATAGGCAGACACTTTCCATGTCAACATGAGTTGTATCTCCTTGATTCACTATCAGGGACCATGTCCTCATGGGAAGGAGACTATTGTTCCATTTCACCCTTCCTATTCTACAGCCAGGTCTGCTCGTGGGGGTGCCAGGCATGATTCAAGGAATGCACCAGGCACACCAGCTACACGGGAGGTAAGACATGAGACTGGCACGGGCTGGCTGGTCTTATCCTGCACAGACTGAGCCCTGTGACCCTGCATCCTTAGACCATGTTCTCAGCCACCAGTCAGAACCATTAGCTAGGGGTGCTGGGAAGCTTGTGTTGGAAAGTCACTGGTGCTTCATTGAGAAAAATAAATAATTCAGCTCGGTCAGGTTTTCTGCAAAGCAAAATTTTGGCCAACGAGACAGACAATAGCTGTTCCCTTAGCAATAGGCACATAACTTTTCGTGCAGGTCTGTGCACTTTCATCCTCTCCTTAGCTGGACCCTGAGAAGTGTGGTTGTCCTTGATGCCCAGTTGGGACAGCAAGGGAGGGATCTGAATGACTGGTTCAGGACTGGGGCCTGGCTTGAGATTTTGCTCCAGAGATGGCCCTTTCCCTGTCCTTGCACTGGTGTTCCTCTCTGGTGCACATCGTGGAGCTCTGAGATGATCCTGCTAAAAAGAAACAACCCACTGGAAGCTCAGGGCTCCTTTTGGCCACCTCTGGCCCTGGCTTGGTCTTTAGGGAGCCCCCTGCCCGCAGAGGCGAGCCCAGTGCTTGCTCCCCAGCTCCCTGCCCTGCTGAGCTCCTCAGGCACGTTTCTGGTTGTCCTTTCTCCTTTTGACAGGCTCCCGTGGTCCGAGCTGCTGGGCCTTGCAGCTGCTGTTGCCCAGGAGGGGTTTAATGTCACACATGATTTGGGTGAGTGCTTATTGGGAGGCCAGGGATGGCTGCTCAGCTCAGAGGAGCACATGGGCCATGGTGCTGGGTGCAAGGCAGCTGGGGATGGAGGTGGTTATTCCTGGGAAGTTAGGGCTCTTTGGGCCTGGAGATGGATGGTGTTGGGAGCTGAGTAAGGTGTGAGCTGCCATCTACAAGGGGAGAGTGTGATGGCAGCAAAACTAGAGCCCTTTCTCAGGGCTGGTTGGGCAAGGTCAGAGCAGCCCAAGCTGGGCAGCTGCCAGGGCCAGGCAGGGCTGGACGTTGGGCTTCCTTTGGGTGTCCTCCCAGCTGTAATGGGTGCAGGATCCAGCCTCCTGCTAGTTTTCAAACGGGGCAAGGGGCCACAGCAGGTTTCCAACACCCCCACCAGGTGTTCAGTGTCTCCAGGCCCCCTCTGTATTCCAGCACATGGAATCATAGAATGCGTTGGGTTGGAAGGGGCCTCCTTTAAAGGTCGTCCAGTCCAATCTCCCTCCATTGAGCAGGGACCTTTTTAACTACAAGTTGCTCAAATCCCCATCAAGCCTGACCTTGAATTTCACCTGGGATGGGGCCTCCATCCCCTCTCTGGGCAACTTGGGCCAGTGTTTTACCACCCTCGTAGTACTGAACTTCTTCCTAATGTCTAATCTAAATCTACCCTGCTCTAGTTTAAGACCATTTGCCTTCGTCCTATCACTGCAGACCCTTGTAAACAGTCCAGTCCCTCCCCAGCTTTCCTGGAACCCCTTCAGGCACTGGAAGGTGCTCTAAGGTCTCCCTGGAGCCTTCTCTTCTCCAGGCTGAACACCCCAACTCCCTCAGCCTATCTTGAGAGCAGAGCTGCTCCAGCCCTTGATCATCTTCATGGTCTCCTCTGGACCCTGTCCAGCAGGTCCATGTCCTTCTTGTGTTGAGGGCTCCAGAGCGGGACACAGTGCTCCAGGTGGGGTCACATAAGAGCAGAGCAGAGGTCTGCATGTCCTTCCCCTTCTCGTCCACAGCCAAAGCCATAAGTGAACTGAAGGACCTGAAGTACTCGGACAGATTTCAGGAGATCTTCCTGCCAGGTGGGCAGCCCCTGCTGCCTGGCATGTTCATCAGGCGCCCGGATCTCGCGGCCCTCCTGGAGCTGGTGGGGGCAGAAGGAACATCAGCTTTCTACAGTGGCAACTTGACTCAGGAGATGATCTCTGAGGTGAGACACCCATGTCTTTGTCTCTTCTGCAGCACAACCCGGGCTGGGGTGCCACCTGCCATGTCACCTGTCTCAGGAGCCAGCCTGGAGATAAGCCACAGCCAAGTGTCAGCACAATGATGGGGACAACTGCATGGAGCCTCCTTTTCCTTTCCTGTCCCTGTCCCTGCCACTGCAGTGGCTTTTGTGGCAT